CTCGACTCGTGTTCCTCAAAATTTCTGAAATCACTTTAGCTGTATCAACTTCTCTCAAAGCCCCACAACTTATATAAGCGCAGAGCCTCCTACAAGACTTGAACCACGGAGCTTCCAACACAATCCTCTGTATAGCATCATCTGTACGAACAAACCACACAAAACCCACGTCTTAAAACCAATGATCTCCACAAGAAGGTCAAAATTTTAAAACGAAATTAGCTAAATAGACCCGATATTAGCTGCGCCCATTTATTACCTTCTTGAGATCTGAGCATCGGGTCCATTGATCTGAGCTCCCTCTTGACTTGGAAGCGTAGGGCCTTTTTCTGCTTGAAAAGGGCGTCGAGGGGGGCTGCGGCGGTGCTTGCGGCGCTCATGGTGGTGGAGGGGCCGAAGGTTGTGTGGACGGTGGCGGACAGAGGCGGCGATACGGTGGCGGTGGTTGGTGTGAATTTTAGGGGCGTCCGCACAGCTAATCTGTGTAAGAGCCCTATAACAGTCATTTTACCTTTCGCAGCAACATTATTTAATTTAATTGTTTTTATTTATTTTATTTGAAAGAAATGATTCAAAATATTGAAATTGTGTGAGACTTACCCTTCCCTTTCATAAAAGGGGGGAAAAACTTGTATATTGTGTGGTTCCAATTTCATGAAGAATGTTTATTTACTACACTCTTATTTAAAAAAAAAAATAACAGTTCAAAATAAAATCATACATAAATCATTAATAAACGAGTCATAAATGGAGAAAATAATAAGATTTAAAAAGCAAGGACAAAAATAAACCACAACTCAATCATTCATAAACCATAAAGATTAGTATATTTGTGACAAAAAACAAAAGGTTCATAAACATGTAAATAAATAAAGTTTTGAAGATGATCGGTGTAATTTTCTCGACTTGAAATAAAATCTTATAAAATCAATTTATAGGTTGAATGAGAAATTAATTTATTGTGTTTGTAGCTGGACATCATAGTTTTTAATAGAAAAATATAATTATGCTATAATTTGTTATATTTATTTGTGTTGGTTTTTTGTTGTATGAAGTTTCAAAAGAAGAAAAATGATTCGAAGCCTTGCATTTGTACATATGTGTTGATGAAAAATATGCAAGTAATTCCACGAACTTCTATGGGGGTGATTGTTTATCAATCCAATTAAAAAAAAAAAAA